TTTACCAATTGTAAATTTTGATTTAAATCAAATTATTTTAAAAGATATTTGTGGTTTCAAGGTTTCAAAAATGAACAATTTTTTATTTTGTTCGAACTAATAGTCATGGAACTAAAAATTCTATAAAGTTAATTTTCGTGTTCATTTACATGTGCGAGCCACTGTATAACTAATTTGAAGTAAATTCGGTGATTTAGAAAAGTCGATCATAATCACTAATTTTGAGAGATCGCATAACGATAATTCAAGAATTTTCAGAAAACCGGCCTAAATTCGAGCGTATATTCAAGACCTATGAGAATTGGATTTTGATTGAGAGAAAAAATTTTTGAATTGAATTAACTCACTTAATTCCACTTCTATATGTAAATAGAAATCAGCATTTAAAGAGACACAATTATAAAATTCAGTGTTGATGCGCTTATGGGAATATGAAATTAGAAAATGCAAACTTTCATCAATCTCGATTTATTGCTTTGGTGCAAGTGTAAATCCAGGCGTTACACTTGAACCCGTTTATATTCTCCCAAGCAAAAAATGTGATAAAATCGAGATTCGATTGTATTATCTAATTAATGAGATTTTTTACTTTCTTAATTAGGAAGTAAGTACAAAATTTAACCTGTCAATGTAATAAATTAGGCTTAATAGAACTTTAAAAAATGAAATTTATTGATGACTTACATGCACGTCATATGGAAAAGGAGTACAAAACATTCATACTTACATGCAATATTATTGTCAAAATGCAGATAATGATTATAATCACTATGAGCATAATTTGGAATTATATTTGCAAAAATCCTTATACTTATAAACGCAAGTTCAAATCCCAAAAGCTTGCACGCAATATCCAAATGTAACCACAATAGTTTGGACGAATAATAGAGAATCTTGAAGATCATGTTTTGACATTCTTGGATATAGCACCGTATTATTTTGACTCCGTATTGGTTTGTTTTTCCGAAATTACTAAAACTACTTTCAAATTGTTTAAGATGAGCCATTTTGTTAATACTGATACCAAACGAGTCAGGTACATCAGGACTTCGTCAAAGAATGCGTTCTTTTATTGTGTGATTTGTCACAAATTTTAATTTGGATTGAATTTCCAATCATGGTGGAGGTTTAAATATTTATTGTTATCGTTATGTCAAATTAATTTTGGCCAACGTCTACGTCGATCGTTTAATTCCAACATCAGTTTGAAAATTGACAGGAGGAATTAAGTTTTAAATATCGGACATTCAGTTGCTATCACATGTTGTCCACCACTGTGTTCGCTTATGAAATAAATAATTATTAAATAATTTTATATAATATAAGATACATGTTTATTACTAATGAATTGAGTTACTCGCACCACCACCCCCACTTCCATCAATCCACTCTTCTAAAACATGCAACAATTTCTCCTCCATTCCTCGACCGAACCAAAAATGATCACCACCACGTAACTCTCTTACACTCCACATATTTCTCTCTTCAATTTTATTATCCTTGATCCACTTCTTATATGCGTTTACACCCGTGAACTGATCCGACGTTCCATAAACAAATAATACCCGGGAATTATTGTTATCTAGTAATGATTTCATGTGCTGAGAGTATTTCGAACCGCGGAAAAAAGTCAGGAACCAAATTACAGATAGTGGGTAACTTATTAATATAAATGAGATTGGGATCGGAATCGGTGATGTGTTGGAGGTAATTGTGATGGGTGAGAGTGTAGTGGCAATTAGTGACCCGTAGCTGTAGCCCTGAATTTGTTTATACAACGTGTTAAATTTGAAATTAATTCAAGCTTTCCTTCTTTTTACTTACTGCTATAATTATTTCTTTAATTGGTGGTATTTCCATTATTATTCGATCGCTATTGAGATCTTTACCACGATTACCTAGAAACTGGAGCATTGTGTTATAGTCGCTTGTTTCGGCTTCTCCACTCCAAGTGTTACGACCACCCGATCTACCGGATCCTCTATTTCCAAAATAATGTATTAAGCAAATTAATTAATGACTTCCAGTAATAAATAACCTATAATAACTAATACGTGTAAGATTTTGATAATTGCAAATTGTTACCGAAAATTGAAAGCAACAGTGAGATATCCTCGTCGTAAAAAGAAATTTTCAAATGCTATAACTACATTATTTTCATTGTCTCCTCCTATACATATAATTAAACAAATTTTGGATACCTCTGAACTTGAAATAAGCAAGATAGATATGATGTCGGTTTTTTAAAATTCTTACCTAATGGCCCATATGGATGAGAAATAACAACAGAATTTACAGGTTGCTGCTCGCTAACCTTATTAACTTTTGGATTTCTAAAATATGTAACTCTGGCTTCTAGAAGGGTTCCATCATGTATCGACGGTATGAAAATTTCTCTAGATGTTGCTGTTGGTGTATTAGATGAACTCATCATTGACGGGTTTTTTACGTCATCGATAATTGACAGATGCACCTGTCAGAAAGTGTTTGTGTAAATAATATGGCGTGCATTAATTAATTATTAAAATGGATCAACTTTTTTTTTTCTTTGACAGGTTATCATCTATCATCTTTTTCTCGAGAAAAATAATTGAATAGAATACAAGGAATATGCAGAGATCAAGTATGCTAATATATAATTCGATTTGTTCTAAATCTCTGTCCCGACAATTTTCAATTTCTACGAGAAAAAATGCAAAATTAATATACAACTATGATAACAGCTATAATAAAACAATATATTTTGGGTACCAACGAAAAATAAGTAGTATTACATTTTCTAATTTATTTTATGTTAATAATAATTTTCAGAGATTATTATTAACTCGTCAAATTGCGAGTAATAATGTCACAATGCAAAAATCCGCGAGTCTTCCACAAAAATCGAATATTTTTTACTACAATAAGCGTCAATTTCATTCAACTCCTGTAACATTGATCCCCATCCTACCCACAATCCTTTTCGCCATTCCATTATGTATTCCATATTTTCTCTTGATAAGATTGGTTTCTACTCGAATTTTTCCACCATCCACTCGTACGAAAATTACCAAAGCTTTTGTTTCATTCTTGTTCGCCATTCCTACCATATATTTTCTTACTTCAGAAACAGCACCAAATACTTATCGTAGGCGACACATGTTACTTTGGCCTTGGGAACAGAAAAAACTCGAAGAAACCTCTAAAAAATGTGTACAACAGGTTAAAGATTCTTCTGATAGTCTACCCATATCTGATCCACGTAGTCAGCTAGTAAATCATGTGTGTGCACGCATATGGGAAAACGGGGTCTTGGAACAAGATCGTGAATATCATAGCACTGAACCAAAAATCTATTTGATCGATGATGATGATCTTCTTGATGGCGTGGTATATCCGTCATCAGATATAACATTGACAACCGGATGGTTAAGAATTGTTGATTATGATGAAAGCCTGTTGGCCGCTGTTATCGCCCATGAGATTGCTCATATATTGCAAGATCACGCAGCTGAATTTTATGGAATGTCCTATTTAATGAAAGTCCTTGCGCATTTAGGCGAAATCACGAATTCTTTGATTCCAAATGTATTGAAGAAATTATTTGGTTATGATAATAATGCTGGTGAATGGCAAAGACCACTACTATTTCTTCAATATTATTCGCAAATACTCGAACGAGAAGCAGACATTATAGGCCAGGAAATTATGGCACGTGCAAGATATGATCCTGCCAGTGCATTAGAGGTTTGGCAGTTAATGGTCGATTTGGAAAAGTTATCTGATTCGTCTTCAAGCAATACTGAAGAACAACCATTATCATTTAATCGTAAAAATCAAAAAGATAGACATGGTATTCGACATGATGGAGAGGCCACTTTAGCAATGCACCCATCTCGACGGCAACGGGTCAAATACTTGACTGAAAATCTATTGAAAGTACAAAAGGTGTACGAAAACGCTATTACACAAGCCTCATTTAAAAATAAGCCATTTACTATGGATTTAAAACTTCGAAAGTTAGAAATCACAGTTTGGGCAATTTTCGGAAATAACGCGTACGACGAAGCTGATAATGGAAAAGATTTTATATTACAAATAATGTAAGGAAAAGGACATAATATCTATAAAATATACTTTTGTAAAACCCATAGAATTATAAGAAATTATTTTAATAATAAAAATAATTAATTAAACAAGACTTTATAATCAGAAGACTGTATTTGTCACTCCTTGTTTTCCGCTTATCTCTCGGATAACTATTTAGGCTAAACTATTATATTGCGAGATATGAATATAACATAAATTATATTTAAGAAGTTCAGGATAATTTGATGCCAACAATTGTTTTTGTCAATAGCACCAGAATAACACCATCTGCGACCATTTGAACTCCCAGGACATCCTCGTCTTTAGATTCTCCAACAATGTCAACAACATTTTGTTTATCGGAAGCGCGTTTGGCTTGACCTTCAGTGTGCCAATAAATAAAAGCACGATGAGTTTCCTCAAGGACCATAATAAATTTATTTAAAGGGTCATGAAATAAATGACGTTTTTCGCGTTTAGAGGCTTGAACAAATCCGAAAGCATCAAATGTTGACACATGAGTCACAGTGATTGGTGGATATCCAGATGAACGTTGAAATTCATAGATTAAACCATCAACATCGTATTTAAGACAAATAGATGGGAATCTGTTAATTGATGATTCAATGTCTCGTCTCCCAAAATACTCGAATTGTGGACAAAGAAATTCATGACTGCCACCAGCAAATTTAGCCGCAATATTTCCTTGTTTTTCAATCCACAGAAAATTTACAGTTCGTCCTTCATAGTCAATAGAATCCTCTATTTCATGTCCTATTGGATGATGAAGAGTTGAGGCAAATGATTGTCCATCGGTAGAGCTGGATGTAAATTTCTCAAGACGTTCTCGAAATTCAGCAAGCTCATTTGGATCAAGAGTTTCCAAAACTCCGTCATCATGTTTAAATACATGCATCCAGCGTGTTCCCCGGTTCTGCTTTTCAAGATGTAATGTAAGTAATCCTATTCTCGACTCGATGATCCAGAGAGAAGCAGAAGAGTCGATTTCACCATGTAAAGGAGTAAAAACATAACAAGGGATAGATGTGGATTTCGATGTTGAATTGGGTTTACCTGAAGATTCTTGAAAATCATCTGGTAGTTTTATAGTCAATGAAAGGTGTGTCTTGGAAAAACTACAATGGACTGCAGACTTTGGTGTTCCAGGCGGCAATTGAAAATTGATGGAGACATCAGAATTTGTCTGTGTCCATAAATAAGGAAGAGGATCCTTTGTCTCTTCATCACATTGTTTTTCTTCCAAACTTTCTTTTTCTTTTTCCGAGGTCGATATATTGGCATTGTTTAGTGATAATACAGAATATTCGCCGTCACATCCAATAATATATCCTTCTCCTTTCATATCAAGAGCACAATACAATGGAATATCGGGTCCTCGAAGAACATGTTTCACTTCAGCACCTGATGATGAAGCGTCCAAAGACATTTGTAGAAGAGAAACATCAAATAATTTCTTGCTTGTTTCTCGTGATGACGATATTGATAGTGAGGATGACTCATGTTTGGAAACTACAACATTATATACAATAAAATGAATTTGTGCAGATTCATCAATAATTTTGCCATCTAAAAGAACACAAGGTACAATTATGGCGTCGTTAATTGCAGTATCATCGTTCGCTTCAGAATGCCCATAAAAATTAATACTCTCGATAATCTCTGCAGTTACAACTTGATTTTCTATGTTTCTGGATACTTTTAATAGATAAATGTTTCCCAGGCCATTGGATGCCAATAACAAAGTTGCAGAAAGAGTTCTTAAAGAAGGGTAATTCGAACTAGATATGGATTCACTTATCGTTGTTGGTTTTGGTAATTTAATAAGAGGATGCGTGGTAATAGAATCCGTTATCTTCGTAATTCGTTGATTTAGTAACAGGTGTTTTCGCTTAAAAAACAAAAAACATTAGAGAAAAACAGTATAAATCTATATATTAATACCGGATCATATTCCACAAGAATTATCTGGAGCTCTGAGTCAAAATAAAACGCGTTCCCAATACCTTCCGCTGTAAAGCCGGCGAATAAATGGTTGTAATGTACTAGGCTATGCATTTCTTTGTAAGATAGCTGTGAGTTTACAGGGACCTTTGGAATGTTAATTCCAGGCTCAGGGAGTGGAACACGAAGAAGACCTTCCTCATCGTCAAATATCGTGAGACGGTAACCCTCAAAATTTGGATTAAGTAGATTTCGATCGGGTTTTATAATAGAGATATAAGGTGAAGTTAACATGTTTAAATCTGAAATCTATGAATTTGGTAAATATCGATATAAGCATATGATCACGAGACAAATTCTGCAAAATGAAAGAAGATAACGTTCCAAAAACAGTAAAGCAAGCTGTTTTAACTCAATCAACGCCTATGTCTACTGACACTATAAGGGTCATTGGACTTGGCTTTAACAAGAAACTTGAGTTGTCCGACATTATTTGAAGTTATGCACGAATGGGTTTTCAGAAGCGACGCTGAGAGATCAAGAACTGAATCGTGTAGGAAACTTGTTAATACCCAATCAAAACTATTGCTCACTTGAGGATTAGGTTTCACCGATTTTATATCGCATGGTAGCAGAGCAAAAAGAAGAGGTGAATAAATTGTATTGAATTAGGAAATGCTTTAGATGCTAATCTTTAGACTCTCATGTTTAGGGAGTGATAGGGTCACCTTCTAAAGATTAGGTAAAGAAATTAATAATCCAAAGTCTATTTATTATTGGGCTTACAAGGTATGATTAACCTTTATGATTCTTATCAAAGAATAATATTCCAGTGTATTGTCCAGCAATAACGGATGTATCTCTTTCTTTTAAAGATCCGGGCCTTATTATTGATATTGTGTCCGACATCAGATCAATCAAAAAAGATAATAATATTAGGAAGACTCGTGAAGCATCATATATGTAATGCTAATCTCATGGTATCTATAAATCATAATGTAATTATTATTATGAGTCAATTAAGCTTTCAATAGAGGAACGGTGCAGATCACGCAGTATATATTAATACGGCCAAGAAGTTGACGGGAGTGATGCAGGTGCAAGACATTAAAAAGAAAACCTTTTTTAGATTTATGCTGACGCAACAATAAAAAAGTTTACAATTTAACAGTGCTGGTCGATGATGCGTTACTTAATCAATAAAAACGAAAATTTGATAAGGAAATTGAATATCTAAGACAGCTTAATCAAAATGTGAAACTGAGCTTTCTGAAAAAGAATGTCATTTAAAAGCAGCAGGCTTTAACACACAGTATGTTATCAAAACAAGCAAATATTGTATTTTATTTGATTCGATTTTTTATTAATAATCCATTACAGTTCTTATGACGAACAGTTTTAATGAAATTTAACAAAAACAACAACACAAAAAAATTCAAATGCACATACTGTAGCATTCCAATCAACAGCGTTATGGAAAAGTAATTGAACATTTTTGCTGCACATAATAAATCACTCAACAATATGTTTATATTTTCTTCAAAATATATCTTCATCTCATCTTTCATTAACATAACAAAAACCTCTTTTAACACATTCAGATTTTGTGATATTATTACTTTAACTCATCTTTTCATGTTCTTTTGAAATCTGAACTGTATAAAAAATATCAAAATATACTTTAGATGCTGCGCCACAAAAATTTAATATAATACAAGAAATCTTGACAATATAATGAATTATTTTAAAATCTTTCAACATTTTACAAAGATAAAATTTAAAAAAACTAAATCAGTAATATTATTCTTTGAAATAAACTTTATCAGTTAGATTTTTAAAAAATTTTATATAAAAAATTATAAATATTTAATAATTAAAACAAATCATGTGATTTTTTTCATGTGATCTAATTTGATTGGTTAGTATTATTATAATACTAGTTCAAATTATAAATAAAGAGCACAGTTATATAAAATTAGTCATAATAATATCTTGATTACATATATAAGTTAAAAATATTTTTTTTTCTATTTCTTTTTATTTATTTATTTTTCTTTCTTGTTATTTCTTATTTAGTTTACAATTAAATTTCTTTATAATTATTACTCTCAGAAAAGAGATTTTTTATTATATTTATATGTAAATAGGAAAGTAAAACTAGAACTCTGAAAAGTTTAACTCATTAATTTATATATGACTCATATATATATAATTTAATTAATAAGCTTTAAATTTATATTATTAAACTACATATAAAATTTTAGCTCAAAAAGCTTAAAAGTTAACTTATTAGAAGCTCTAAATAAAATAGAATAATTATAAAGGGATGTAATTATAAATGTATATAATTATAAAGAAATTTAATACACATTAGAATTCTGAAAAAAAGTTTGGTTCAGTTTGAGTCTGGTTTGATTCAAGCTTGAACCTGACCAAAAGTCTGGTTTAAAAATTTGAATTCAATTAAAAGTCTGGTTCAAGTTCAAGTAAATGTTCAATGAGCTTTTATGTAAAATTATAAATCAGAATTAGAACTACAAATTATATAAGATAATTGATATTAAAAATAAATATTCAAAAAAGATATTTAGATTTAAAAAATATTTTAGATTTTTATAATTTTAATTCATTTTAGTTATTCTATAATAAATCTTTATTTTATTATAGTAATCATAATTATAATTATAAGCAAAGTTGTAAGAGTTACAATTTGGTATAAGATAATTGCTAATAATAAATAGATATATAGAATTTATAATAAAATTTAATAATCATAAAAATAAAAATAATTTAGTTGTCGCTAAGTAAACTTTTAATTCTTACTCTTATTTAGGACTACAAATTGGTATATAATACTATATGCCGATCTCTAATCGAACTCGAACCAGACTCGAACTCGTATAACGGTTCGGTTCGAGTCCGGTTCGATTCATAGGAACACTAGCTTTGATGTTATAATTGAAGTATGTTATACTAAAATTTCTAGTTTTTTTAATTATAATTAATAAAGTTATAGTGAAAATACTTTTGTACAGAAAAAGTTTTTTGAAATATAATATTTTAATACATTCCACCATACCTTTTTGAAGAGCGATTATAAAAATTTGAAATTTCAGTATAACATACTACAGAACATTTCAAATTTATGTATTTAGAACACTAATACAAGTTTTTGCATTAGTTTTCTCATTATTTATTTCGCGAAAAAAGTGTTCGGTGACTTTATTCCACCGAGTGTATATGACAGTGTTGTCGATTGGACGTGAATCCAGCAATTTGATTGGTTAGGACACTTGTCCCAACCAATCAAATTGCTGGATTCACGTCCAAGCG